TGCAGTTTGGACTTTGTCTCCTCTCTCCCCTTCTCTTATGCATGTATGGGCATGTGTGAGATTGTCTATGTGTGAGTGGCGATAAAATTCGTCAGACAACCAAGTTCATAACAGTTGGTATCAGAGCGAGATTGGATTTGGGGCACTGAGGGTTGAGCGCACTGAGGCATCTTCTTCATCTGGCGACATACTGGCGAGAGTTTTATGGCGATTCATCTTCCCCAATACTGAGTCAGCAGGGAAGAAGACTTTCAACGGTGGATTCAAGTGTTCAGTGGTTGCACTGAGCAAGCGCACTGAGCCTGTCAGGGCGTGTGTCAGGAGGTGGCGAGTACAGGGTTAATTCGCCATAGCCAACCCTGAGGGTGATACTGCGAAATACCCCAGAGTGGCGAATTACCCCTGAGGACATCAGGGAACCCTGAGCGGCATCATCCCTGGGTAGCGCTGATAGAGATTGACAGTCTGTGTCAATCTCCTGAAGAAATAACCCCATCTGGGGCTATTTTTAGCATCAGTGGCTACTAGGCACTGTGGCGAGATATTTCGAAGTTGGCATACTGGGCGCCACAAGACCAGATACAGGGTATCTGAGTTGAGGGAGTGCAGCGCTACAGGATCCTGAGGAGGATCAACGAATTTGAGGAGGTTCTGTGCGTGGGAGTATCAGGAGGAATATCTGGAAGAAATTGGCGAGACCAGGGTATCATCAGCCATAGCCAGATCTCCACCATTACCTGCAAGATTCTCAGAAAGTGAGTCCGTTCCATGCACCTACCTGCATTGCGATCCAGATAGGGTTAGTTTAGTGAATTGTAATGGTCTATCTGTCTGTCAGTGACTGGATATGAAAATCGCAGACTGCAAGACAGCCATAGCCATCTCTCCCCTACCCCTCTCTGCTCATTTCTCTCGCTCTAGAGACTCTTTCTGGTCCAAATTGGTTCTGTGACTGCTATACTGCATTGCGATTGATCTGGGATGCTCAAACAGTGAATTCTGTACTGGAAAGGTAGTGATACTGTGAATTGCTGTTTTGCGCTGAGTCTAATTTTAGCCTGTGCTACCTAGGGTCAGTCATAACTTCAATGTTGTCTGTCAGAATTCAGTTATGTTAGTCCCTAGTGAATCGCAATCCAAAAATAGACTATACTGTAGAATCGCAGAATTGGATTTGCAATATTTCACTGGACTCAAAGAATACTGTACTTCGCCATACCCTAGGGTATGGCCGCCAGAGTCATCAGGGTCTAAAATTGAGTTTGAGTCAGGTTACAGGGTAACTGTCTGCATCGTTTGTTGTGATTGACCTCTTTTGTCTGTACTAACCATTTTCAATCATTCTCACTGATGACACTTGCTTTCTAGTGGGTCTTTGGAAAAGTAGTGGAGTGTGTTTGCTAACTCCAATGTGGTCCAGGGTCAGTAAAAGGAAATCGTGTGATTGATTTTACTGGACTTACAGTCTGTCTGACACCTGACCCCAGAGACACCCTTCTAACCCAACCCGTTGATTGCCTATTCACCCAACTACTCCACTGTCTGAGTGTTGCAGCGATTCCAGTGTGTCTGCAGGAATTTGTTTATCGCTGCAGCTCAGGTTGCTGTTTATTTTATTTTTGGTCTTTGTTTGGAACCGGGAAAATGTCTGATCAGGGGGCTCAGCAGCAGCCACAGGTGGAAGTGGTGATGAAGGTGGAAGGTGAACAGCCTTCAACCTCCACTCCTCCTCCTCCACCTCTGACTGCTACTCAACGGTTGAAGAAGGAGCTGGAAGAACAGCTGCGTCAGCAACAGGCCAGACTGGCAGAAGTGGCACAGCAGGAGGCTGCTGAGCTAGAGGCTGCAACAGAACATTCCAGAAGAGAATATCTGTTGCAGCAGCTAGAAGGGTCGCTCACTGATGATCGTTGCTCCCAGATCACCAAGCAAATGGCAGAGATGATCCTGTTGGAGCACAAGATCACCAGCTCCCAGTTTACAAATTGGGATGATCGTTTTGTGCAGCTGGAGCGTCGGCTTGACGAGCAGTCAGCTCAGCAGACCAAGATCCTGAAGTCTATTCAGGGCTTGACTGCTCAGCTGGCAGCCGCCAAGCTGATCACTCCTCAACCCCCTCTGCTGCAGCCCAAATCTTCTCCTCATTCTTCACCCCCTTCCTCTCCCCATGCATCGCATGCTGGCTCTGTACATTCTTCCCGGTCATCCACCCCTTCCCAAAAGGCCTCAGCAAAGGCCACCTATGCTGCTGTTGCTGCAGGAGACCAGAGAGGTCCCAAGATCCGTGCTCCCAACAAGTTTAGGGGTGATGACCCCAAGACCGATGTTGGGGACTGGGCTGCTGGGACCCGAGCCTACTTGAGGGGCTTCGCCTGTGCAGAGCAGACCAAGGTGGCGACTGTTCTGGGACTGCTGGAGGGACCCGCACTGAAGTGGGCCACCTCAACTTCCAGCAGTCTGCAGCAATCCATGGAGGACTGGGMTTTTGGGTTGRGGGTGGACAGACTTYTGCAGGCCYTGGAGGACCGTTTTGCAGACAAGGAGCGGGCCCGCAAGGCCGCTGACAGGATWGCTCRCCTGGGACAGCAGCGGTACARCGGGACTTTGCAGGCCTTGTTTGYTGAGTTTGAGCAACTCACCTCCACCCCTGGGTTGGTCATGAGCCCTGATGATTTGCTGACCAACTTCTGCAGGGCAGCGCCTGAGAAGTTTGTTGTTGCTCTTTACAGCACTGGGCACAAGGACTGGAGGTCCTTTGGCCGTGCAAAGCTCCATGTCCAGGCCCCATCCTCTGACAGGAGGAAAGGTGCTTTCCCTCGAGGTGGTAGAAAGGGAAAGGCAGCCTTCCCGCATGCAGGGTCTGCCTCAGGATCAGACTCAGACTCCCAGGCTGATACACCTTCAGCTGGGACTGGATCTGCTGCTGAGACAAATGTTGCAGCTGCCGTGACTCAGACTGTTTTGGGAGCCCTGCAGTTGCAAAAAAAGTTTTCTCCCACCACAGCCTCAGCTAGTGCCAAGGGGAAGGAAAAGGGACGTCGACCTTCCTCTTCCCAGCGCCCTAATCTGCCCATTGACGTCCACATGCCAGCTGAACCTCTCAATCCCTCCACACTCCCCTGGCATGACCTCAAGATCCAGGAGGGAGTCAGGAGAAGAAGAAAGGAGAGAGGGGTTTGCCTGAGGTGTGAGGGACAACACTTTTTAAAGGACTGCCCTTACATGCCAGGCCCAGGGCAGTCAAAAAACTGAAACAGACCCTGGGGACTGTAGTTCCCCCCAGTGCTGCACCTTCATCTACTCGGGTGGGTGAATCTGCAGCTGTTTCAGTTGAGACTGCAGGTGACAGTGTGAGTTTGGGGACTGCGCGGGCAGCATCCTTCTGCTATGAGGATCCTGACCCGGATCAGGACCCGGGGCAGGATGAGCTCCAGTCTATTGTTGCCTTCTTCCTTCATCTGAARGAACAGAAGAAGAGCAAGACTGATCTCATCATGTTCCGGCCACTGATCAACAGCACCAGGATCACTGGGTTGTTCGACTGTGGGGCCACCAGAAACTTCATGTCTCCCAATGCAGTTAAAAAGCTGCATCTGGGCATGAAAGTTCAGCAGCTGCAACAACCGCTGTTGGTGCGGATTGGTGACTCTACAGTACTCAGCATCAGGGAGAAGGTCAAGAGTATCCCTGTGACCTTCGATACTGCAGGAAAAGTCAGACACAGTCTGAACTTTTACATCTTCCCTGAGTTCCCCTTTGATTTGGTGTTCTCCATGCAGTGGTTGAGGGCAGTCAACCCTAGGATCGACTGGCAGATCCCTAGAGTTGAACTACCGGACAGCCAGGGTGTGTATCAACCATGCATGATTGCTGCTGATCACCACCCTAAGACCTCCTGCTACTGCCTGAGAGCGAGGGAGTTCCATGCTCTCTCTCGCCAGTACCACCATGAGCGTTTGTTTATTGCTCTGGTCAAGCAGACAGATGCTCCCCCTGTTTCTTGTCCTCCTGAGATACAGCAGGTGGTAGATCAGTATGCTGATCTGATGCAGGAGCCCTTTGGGTTACCCAGCCGGCCAACCAAGCATCACATCGAGTTGCTGCCTGGAGCGGTCCCTCCCAAGGGCCGCATCTACAGGATGTCCCCTGCTGAGCTTGAGGAGCTCAGAAAGCAGCTTGAGACCCTGACCAGCAAAGGCTGGATCAGACCCAGCACATCTGAATTCGGTGCACCGGTTCTTTTTGTACCCAAAGAGAACGACGAGTTCAGGATGTGCATTGATTACAGGGGTCTCAATAAGATCACTAGGAAGAGTACTGAGCCACTTCCTAGGATCGATGACCTCCTGGACATGGTGCAGGGCTGCACAGTGTTCAGCAAAGTCGACCTCAAATCTGGCTACCACCAGATTGAGATGGCAGAGGAGGATGTCTACAAGACAGCCTTCAAGACCAGGTATGGGACTTATGAGTTCCTGGTCATGCCATTTGGACTTTGCAACGCCCCAGGCACTTTCCAGACAGAGATGCATCGCATCTTCAGGCCTTACCTGGACAAGTTTATGGTTGTCTACCTGGATGATATCCTGGTATTCAGCAAGACTGCCAGGGAACATGCGGAGCACTTGGCTCTTGTCCTTCAGTCGTTACGTGACAGCCAGTACAAGATCAACAGAGAGAAGTTCTCCTTTGGAGTTCCCTCTGTCATCTATCTGGGTCATGTAATCTCTGGAGATGATCTGGCTCCTGAAGCAGCCAAGATTGCTGCAATTCAGGAGTGGCCTCAGCCTCAGACAATGAGGGATGTCCGGTCCCTCATGGGTTTGGCCTCTTACTACAGAAAGTTTGTCAGGAACTTTTCTGCAGTGGCTGCACCCCTGACTAACCTAACAAAGAAGGACACTCCCTTTCTTTGGTCCCTCCACTGTCAGTTGGCCTTCACACGACTCAAGAAGGCCTTGACTCGTGCGCCTGTACTGAAGTTACCTGACCCCACTCTGCCATTCATCCTGACCACTGACGCCAGTCAGTATGGCATTGGGGCAGTTCTTCAGCAGGATGATGGGAATGGGCTACGGCCTGTAGAGTTCATGAGTAAGAAGATCAAGACTCAAAAGCTCCAAGACCCTACCTACGAGAAAGAGCTATATGGTATTGCCTGTGCCCTGAAACACTAGAAACACTTTCTCCTGGGCAGGCACTTCAAGATCTTTTCAGATCACTCCACCTTGCAGTGGATGAAGTCCCAGGGAGAGTTAAATGATAAGTTGGCACGGTACATTCAGTTCATTGACATGTTTGACTTTGAACTGAAGCACAAGAAGGGCTGCTACAACAAGGTAGCAGATGCCCTCTCTCGTAGGCCTGACTCTTTTGCGCTGATCTCCTCTACTCCTTTGGAGAGGAGACCCGCCAGACCATTGCTCGTCTACTGCCTCAGGACGAGACTTTCGGACCCATTGTCAGGAATCTGCAAGCAGATCCTAACTTTGAACCAGGCTATGCTCTGAGTTCAGACCTGCTGTACACTTGCAGCAGAGGTGAGGAGCGTTTGTGCATTCCCCAGGACCAGCGACTCAGGACACTGCTGATGTCAGAGTGTCATGATGCCCGTGGACACTTCGGGTTCCTAAAGTCTTATGCAGCACTGTCGCAACGCTTCTTCTGGAAGGAGATGCGGAGTGAGATGCTGCGTTATGTGGACACCTGTGAGCTCTGCCAAAGGAATAAGGTCCAGCGTAGACCTCCTTTGGGACTGCTCAAACCCTTACCCAGACCTGATGGCCCTGCTGAATCTGTGTCGATAGACTTCACATATTTAGGCAAGACCACCCCTCGTGGCATGCGTCAGGTAATGGTCTGCGTGGACAGGTTTTCCAAATACGCAGAGTTCATCCCCTTGCCAGAGGTAGCTAGGGTACTGGCTGTGAGAGCAGCCTTTTCTGAGAGGTGGGTCACACACCATGAACCGCCCACCTCTATTGTCAGTGATCGAGACCCCAGATTTTGCAGCGACGAGTGGCAATCCTACTGTAAGGACTATCTGCACTCCCGACTGAACATGACTTCTGGTCATCATCATGAAGCCAATGGTTTGGCTGAAGTGATGAACCAAGTCTTATTCCAGCTGCGGCGTCCTGTCATCTCTCCAGATCAACAGGACTGGGATCTTCACTTAGCGAGGGCACAGGTCATGTATAACATGTCTGTCCACTCCTCGACAGGGTTCAGTCCCTACCGGTTACACTGGGGGCGTGAACCACGACAGCCTCTCGATGACATCATCGATAAGGCTAAGCCTGATCTGACACCAGGCACAACAAAGTTCAGCAGACGTTATCGTCTAGATATGGAAAGAGCCCGCGCGAACTTGTTCAAAGCCCAAAAGGCTATGATTGAACAAGCTAATCGCCACAGGCGGCCTTCCCCCATCCGCACTGGTGACCATGTCTGGGTGGCCAGCTCTGAGTTGTCGAGGGAGGAGGATATCTCTCCCAAGTTGTTGCTACGTTACCTGGGTCCATGGCAGGTCCTAGATACAGTGGGCGCTGATCCCTTCGGTCCGTCGTATGTCATCGACGTCCCGCTGCATCTACGAACCTACCCGGTCTTCCATGCAGCTAAGTTGTTGCCTTTTACGCCAGCTGATGCATTCCTGGATCGCCCCCCTCAATTCGGTCCACCAATCCCTGGCAAGGGATATGATGTGGAGTGGATTGAGGATGAGTGGGGCACAGGCCCCGACCGACAGTATCTTGTGAGGTTCGCATTCCAGCCTCCTTCTGAGAACATATGGTTCTACAGAAGGGAACTTCTCAAGACAGCAAAGTCAGTTGTGTTGCGATATGAAGCGGCTCAGAAGGGCAACCTTCCTCGCCGTTCACCTCGCCTGCACCCCTAGCTCGGAGGTCCTCGCTCCCGAGGAGGGTAAACCTGCAATGACTTGCTGAATTCTACTGTCGAGATTGATTGCGAGGCTGTACACTAACCGGTAGGGTTAAATTCGTAATTTTATTTGTCTGAGGGCTAACCGAGAGACCTGCCTGTAAGGAAATTCGTGAGGGACATATCTATAAATCTGGGAAAATAAGGGCCCAATACTAACCCGAATTTCTACAGCTACCCTAACTGCCTATAGCAGGCCCGGGCTACCCTTAGGACAGACAGGCCCTAAGAGGCCTATACTGCTAGACGGTCCTATAGCCTATAGCCGGGTCCGGTAGAGGCCGAGAGGCCGAAACAGCAACGGTACCATTCGGTCAGTCAGTCCGGTCTAGGTCTAGGTAGTCGATAGATAGGTTAGGCCCATCGGTTCAGGACTTTTGGCAGTTCATTTCTCGCGAAGCAGCGTGGAGAAGCCAAGCAAGTTGGTGGCGGTGACGGTCTGCAGGCGGCATCCTAAGACA